ACACTTCAGAAATTTCATAAACTTCCTGCTAAGAGGTAATAACACCTTATAGTTTTTCAGCTACACTGAAAGGTCACTTGAGGGCAATATTTTTATACTCATTTATAACACATGAGGTGAAACACTGTAAGTAATTACTGTACATCTAACAGACCGTGCCCTGTATTCAGGATGATGGGAAATAAGTTGCTAATGACTGGGGATCAGATTATTTTTTCAGTACAGTTGAACTGTTCTTTCAGTAAAAATTACAATTTATAATAGTAATAAGCTCTTTGATAGAATCGTTAACAAGCAGTTTGTTAGAGTAAACTGTCTGTAGCTTCACTATTAACTAACAAGCCTATCATTAACTGCTGAAAACTACTGATTTGTGATTATTTCTTAAATAACATAAAATTATGCATGTCTGTATGACTCGTAAGGCACTTACCGTGCCTGTAGATCTAGGTATGATTTGGCAGTATGAAAACACTACTAGAATGTCGCCATTGACCTTGTTATTGCACAAGACAGGTTAAGTTCTCCCCAGAGTCATCTTGTTTAACAGCGGCAGTGAAATAAATTTGTCTTTCATTTGCTTTCTGGGAAGTGGCTCTTGGAAGGCAGCTGGCAGCAGGAGTGAACAAGTCAGGGGAGAAGCACAATGGGGATTGGTGGATGGAGAGGGAGAAGGGAGAATGGAATGGTCAAAGGAGCAAGTCAAGGGAGTGCTGGACAGAGGTTCAGAGGGAGTGGGATGAGGTGGGTTCAGTGAATGAAGAGAAAAATGGGAGGGCAGTATAATCAGTCCACGTGCTTTAGATAACAGGCACACTTTCTATAAATCAAACGCAGGGAGCTGCCTGTACAATTATTTCCTATCCCAGCACCATGATAGTATCCAAGAACTAACCATCCTAATTATTCCCCTGTGTGATAGATACAGTCATTTTCTAGAGAGGCACTGAAAGCTTAAGTAATTTATTTAATGCCACAGAGGGAGTCATGTCAGAAAGGGGATTAGAATGTTCCTAGTGCCCATGGCTCTAACCTCACCTTTTATTCACTGTGCTGAGTATCTGGTTTGACAGCTAGGCTATGTCTAGACTACATCCCTCTTTCGAAAGAGGGATGCAAATTAGACATATCAAAATTGCAAATGAAACCAGGATTTGAATTTCCTGCGCTTCATTTGCACAATCGTGTCATGACGTTTTTTCAAAAAACACTTATTTCGAAAGTGAAATCACGGTCTAGAAGTGGTTCTTTTGAAAAGAAAAGCATTTTTCAAAAGATCCTGTGAACCTCATTTTTTGAGGATATATAGGGGCCAGTGGAAAGAGCAGGTCTAGGATTTGAGTAGTTTGGAGACATGGAGAAGATAAGCCATGGGAAGGGCAGTGTCTGAGAGAGATCACAGCTGGGGGACTATGGGAACAGGATGTGTTTCTGACCCAGGACTGAAGGAAAGTAGCAGGGGTAGAATAAAGGAGTGCAAAACCAGTGGAAAAAAGGGAACTAGAAACAACATATAGCAGAGATTTGAAGAGCATTGCCAGATGGAGGGGAGAGGTTATGTTGCTGCTAATAAGGAGAGGAGACAAAATGAATAGGAGACAGAAGCAAGGTGGTAAGGAGATGGCACTGGCAGTGCTCTGGCATTCCAGATCTACCAGTGACACTACCAGTATCGTTGAAGAGAGAAATAAAAGTGTTAATGCTAAAGGAATAATAAAAGTGAATTTTGTTATTGTTCTATATTTCAGCCCTATTTTGTTTCCTTTGCAGGGCTATTGGCTACATAATGTCCACCTTATTTTACCCAATTATCACCTTCATTCTCATTGCAATCTGCATTTCCTATTGGGCAGTGACAGCTGTGTATCCTTCTATATGTCTAATCCTCATTATCACAGCAGTATCCTAATAGCTCTCCAAATAACTGTGTGCAAAGGTTCACCTTAGCCTTCACTTACATCGAGTAATATAGCGCAGGTGGAGGCAAAATCCTTACACAAGTGTTTTGCACTAAGGCTCTTCTCTTGATGGCTGATATGGAATGAAGCCACTGTGGAAACCCTCACTTTGCAATATTGAAATCCCTTTGCGCTTTCTTAGGAGGCTCTGAAGAAGACTTAACACCAAGAGATTATATTTTTCACAGACATCATAACCTGGAGACATACTTCACACCTGCATATGTGCCTTTCTGCTTACACACGGAATAATTAAGTGCACTTTCCTTTGGCCTTACTTGTAACAAAGTGTCAGATCTGGCCGTGCTGGGTGGTTGTAAATCCAGTGGACAATACAGTGGGAAATGTCCTGCATCTGGGTGTGTTTTACCTCTTTGTGTCTCATATCTTTTGAATAGGGTGCGTAAGTTGCTTTGTGGTGCTCCTAGCTCATTGAGCTGTTCTGTTTCACCATCTTGACTGATACCGTATTAGATCATCTTCATGGACTCATAGATGTTAGAACAAGCTCTTAGGTCACTGAGTCCATCTCCCCGCCACCAAAGGATTGTTCTCTACTGTATACTAGACAGTGTACAAGTAAGATTCCCACAGATCTAACATGCATGTCCACATATTTGCAAGGTTCTAGATACAACATTTGTATCTGCATCCATATCCACACAAATGAGCTATGGATACCCATGGATTTCAAGGGCTCTAGTTATTTCTGTTCTGAGCAGCATTAACTCATCCCCTCTGACCTCCACTGCAGCAGTCACCAAGTACAGGAGCTGGCCAAGAGCTGCTTGAAGTTTGGTCATTGGCTAGTCCATGCTGTCATAGGGATGTGTGCAGAGGAGGCTGACAAATGCAGAAGCAGCTCCTTCCCTGAGTCTGGTCAGGGGTGTGCAGACTTTGGAGCTAGGTTCTCTAGCATATGAGGAAAATTTAGGTGTTACTTGTTAGCCCTTCTGCTTTTATGCTGGTCACATGCATAGGAAGAGGTGCTGCTCTGAATCTCCTTTCAACCCACACTAGTTTCATGGTTAGTGGTCCCCTGTTGTGTTTTATGTATGATGGAATTTAAGGGCCAGTGCTTCTGTGAGTTCCTCCTTAATACAATTCACTCAGTTTCCTGTCTACATCAGGGGAGCCTGTGTATAAAGTAATGGCTAATCAAACACTTTGCAAGTATGCCAACATGACCTGTGACCCAGAGGTAAGCATGACTAGTAACTGCCTGAGAATTAAAAAGGGGGGCATGCTAATTATACTAATGTATTGACATTCCGCATATGCTCCAATGCTCATTTAAAGACTATGCATATTTGTATCCCACCTATTCTTTGTGTTAGGTGACATAATGCTTAGCATTATAGCACTGCATGTTAAAAGCACTTTACAAGTAACAGGTAATTAACCCTGACAACACCTGTGTGAGGAGGATAAGTATTAATAGCCATGTTCAACAGGCAGGGAAACAGAGACACTGATAAAGGCTTAAATTTTCAGACATGTCTACTCACTTTTGGTACTTCAATTTTTGGATGTTCTATTTAAAAGATACCAAAAGGCATCCACAATTAGTGGCCCATTTTCAAAATTTGGGCCTTAGAGACTTGACCACGACTTCTGGGCAGGTTAATGGTAGAACCCAACTAGGAACCAAGTCTCTCAGATTGCTATCATATGTTCTTGCTAGCAGACAATATTGCCATGAGGATAAGTTAAGAAAATTTACAAAATGCTTATCAAATCTTTTGGGAGCAATGAGGTTATGTTGTGCTCTGAGTTTGTTTTGAGAGGTTTTTTAACCCAAAAATGTTTATGAATCTTAACATTAGTAAAATATTTCCAGATATTTTAAATATCAACAGAAACAGCTTGTTTTGAGTAATAGCACACTTGTGAAACGTATGCCTACCAGACTACAGCATTCCAGTCTGACCATTATGTTTTCATTGTTCAGGATAGATAAAGGGACAGAGTAAACAGCACACATAGGACGCGTCTACACAGCACCCTACACTCGAAATAAGATACGCAATTTGCACTATGCAAATTGCATATCTTATTTTGAATTTATTTTGAAATTTGACTTGTCTACATAACACCAAATTTCCAAATAACATGCTATTTCGAGCCATCCCTTAACCCTCGTGCAACAAGATTTACCAGGATGGTGAAATAGCATGCCCGTTATTTCGAAATATATTTCAAAATAACGGGCGGCTTGTGTAGATGTAGAGTAGCAATTTCAAGATACCTCCAGTATCCCGAAATAGCTGTGCAGTGTAAACATACCCATAGAGAAAAATAAAACCGGTTCTAAAAAATTTTATTGTTATTATAATCTACAGGGAGGTGAATAAGAAATTCTGTGAGTGGCTCCTCAGCTGGCGTAAAAAGTCATAGCTCCATTGACTTCATCTGAATTATTTATTTACATAAGTTAAGGATCTGGCCATGAGTTTAAATAAATATGGCTTTAACATGACCTGCTGCTCTGTAAGGAACCTGAATAAGTAATAAATAAGAAATTGAATAAGTTGTGTATCAGGAGAGGAGATTTGTGTAATTGAGATTCTGAATCCTTAGGCCCCGGCCATGAAAAGACTTGTGTTTGTGCCTACATTTGTGCATGGTGAGCATGTAGCCTATTGATTAACCATAGAGCATTAAGTTAAGCATATGTGTGTATCTTTTTTTTTTTTTTTTTTTTTTTTTTTTTAAAGTACTGGAGTTTTAATAAGGCCCTACTTGAATCAGAGCCTGATTGTCATATAATTGCAGCTGACCTGCAGAGAAGACATGGCAAATCACAGAAAATTAACAATGGTCCTTTATTAATTGTGGTAATTTGGAGAAGCCAGAGAAGACCTATTTGTTTAAGAAAATGTTGCTGGAACAGTATAAACTCTCAAATATTATGTTATGCCTACTAATTTTTTTGATACGAGGCATTTTGCTACACTCTATTCCAGTCATTCATGTGCGGGGGTGACAGCGGGCTCTCTGGCCGTCTGGGCAGCTACAAAAATTGTGGTAAAACACAAATATTGCAGGATCCACAATTTATACTATATCACAAACTAATTAAGGCTTTAATTTTTAATTGTTTAAATGATTTTTTTTAAATTTGCATTGTAGTTAGACATTAGCTTAGGATTGAATGAGTTAGTAAAACACCCAGCAGAATATATGACATTTTTATGCTTCGCCATTTAATTTCAGAAATTTTTCTGACACAGTCTGTTCATTGCTTATGATTATTTTTGTGTGTTTTTCTTTCTAAACAGACTTTTAACACAACCAATGTGACCAAATTATGTCTTGGTGCTCAATGTACTTTCGCTTTCTATGGGGGAGAAAGCTTGTATCACAAGTACATCTTGATCTTTCAACTCTCCAATGTATTTGTCTTTCTCTGGCTGGTAAACTTTGCAATTGCACTAGGTCAGTGTACCCTTGCTGGTGCCTTTGCCTCCTACTACTGGGCCTTTAGAAAACCTGCTGATATTCCACCATGCCCACTCTTTTCCTCATTTGGACGAGCAATACGGTAAGGACAAGAATCTGGAATTTAATCTTTTCATGTTTCATAGCTCTGTTCATAACTCATATGGAAATAATTAAATTATGTTTAGAATATTAAAGGAAAACAATTATGTAGAAAAGCTTAGTCATTAAGCACGCAATCATCCTCCTAATTACGGAGTAGGTGTGCAGATCAGGTCCAAATTCATTGAATGCCTGAATTTCAGAAGAGTAGAAGCTCTGAAAAATTGTGTGCCTAACTTATACAAGCAATTACTGAACCTGAGTATTCAAAGCTGTTATAATAATCCTGTAAGGGATGTTGGGCACCTCAAAATACAAAAGATCTCACTGTGAACACAATGTAAATTTGTGGTGCTATACCTGTTTGTGCAAGGATCTGTGCTTTTTGCTTCATACAAAATCAGGAGCATATTGACCTATTGTGTAATTATTAAAATAACTGTATAGATTAAATTAAATCCAACATTTAAATCTGTACATTTATGTTCTATTGGTAATAACCTTTAGTTAAAAATAACAAATGAAAACATATTATGGATATAAATATTTTTACCACAACACAATTATAGGCCTATTATAATGATTGTATCTTTTATTCATGTTGTATCTAGCAGAGCAAGTTCTTCAGCTAATGCTAAGGTTATTCAGAAGCATTTAGCAGAGGCAACATTTCACAATCTTTTGTCAGGAATCTTAGCAAATTTTGTATCGTTGCTCATCTTCTTCAAAATGCTCTTCGCAAATTTCACAATCTATAAGATAGGTTACTGTGTGTGATATTTGCCGTCAGTTCAAAGGAAAACAATTATGTAGACAAGCTTTGTCATTAAGCACGCAATCATCCTAGTAATTGTATCAGTTACATAGTGCTGTCTCCTGTAACATGCCATAATATCTCTTTGCTTTGTATTAGATATCACACAGGTTCACTAGCATTTGGATCATTAATTCTTGCAATAGTCCAGCTGATTAGAATAATCTTGGAGTACTTGGATCACAAGCTGAAAGGTGAGACTTCTGAACCTGCTGTAAAATATTAAGAACTCTTCTTATCTTCCTTTCTTTTCCAGGATGGTTCTTCAATTATGAAATATCCAAGAGGCTGGTATAAATCACTGTAGAGCCATGTGAAATCAATGAATCTATGCAGATTTACGTTGACTGCGCATTTGTCCTTGAAAGTTTAATATAAGAATTCATGCAAGAGCTGGATGTAATACAGTATAGGGTCAGTGGGCTAGATTTGCTCTGGAAAGGAAGAGAAAATTGTAACTTCTTGCTCCAGTGATGGGACAGGATTCTATCCTGAGGGATAACAGGCATCGTTTCAATCACAGATCTCTCTCTGCGGATCCAGACATTATGGGAAGCCCCTGATATTTAAAAGACCATACATTATGAGTCTTAATGATCTGTTCTCCCTCCTTTTCTGCAGGTACACAGAACTCTTTTACGAGATTTCTGCTCTGCTGCCTCAAATGCTGTTTTTGGTGTTTGGAAAAATTCATCAAGTTCATCAACAGAAATGCCTACATCATGGTATGTATTATCCCTCCCTGCATGTTCTAGCATTCTACTTGGGGCACTCCAATCAGTATCTTAGACATGTGCCTCAGGTATGCCTACACTGAACACCTCTGGTAGGGCCATGTAGGGCAGATGCCACAGTGACAAGTAGGCTGTTTCCACTTTGTTGTGTATAACTACATAGGGCAGTGAAAGGCTCTGGCATTGGGTTGCTGCCTGAGCCTTTCCCTGTTGCTGGAGCAGCA